ATTTAAGAATCTTCTAGATTTTAGGAAGTTTGAATTTCTAACCTTTAATTATACTTTTACGACTTTATTCTTTTAGGTAAGGTGTGCTTTTGGAAGAGACAATCTTACTCATAGAGAGGATTGTATTGCCTTTAGTATGGAAAAATTATACCTTTATACCTAGGTAAGTAAAAACTTTAATTTGTAGGAGTCTTGGATTCTAACATAGAGTTGGTTATATTCTTGATTGAGTATGAGTCGTTTATTTTTTAGCCGATGGAGGTGCATCTATATTCAAGAGAAATAAACATTTTAGTCTTTTAAAAATCCCACATGCCTTTAAGTGGGGATTGAATGCTTTCTTGAGGGAAAGATGAGATCTTTGACCTCTAATGGATATTTATGATGCCTTTATACCTGGACAAGATAAAAAAAAACATATATTTTTTAGTTTCGATTTTTATAGATTATTGGCTGTATTTTAAAGGAATGAATCATCTTTTTTCTTATGATCAAGATGCCATTATACATGGGTAAGGTGTATTTTTATACCCGAGTAAGGTAAAATCCCATTGTTAAAAAGACGATAGTCTCTAATTGCTGAAAAGGTGTGTGGTTCCCTTAAACTTGGGCAATATATGTCTTTATACTCGAGCAAGGTAATAACTATGACAAGTTATGATTCTAGGAATTTGTTTGTTCCCGGATGCATTCTAGAAAGGATAGATGTCTTGTTTTTATGAGGATAGTCAAAGTGCTTTTATACTTTGACAATATAAAAATCCCAACCACCCCTATATAAGATCTTCGAGGTATAACTTTCTCGATAAAGGTATAGTTATACGTTTTTGAACAAAAAGTAATGGTCGTGGCCATGAGTTCTTAGAAGAACTATATTTTTTACGTAATGTGTTTTTATATTTAAACATACCGATTAGTAAAATTTCATGTGGAAACACCTTTATTGATTATGTATTCATGTATATACATATTTTCTTCATGCATTTTATGCAAAAGACTTGTTATTAAAATGTGTTGGCAAGCCTAGGGGATTTAGATTGACAATTGATCTTCTTTTTCATATCTTTAAGCCTTCAACATCCCCTACTTGATTCTATTCTTATTCTACATCTTTTCTACGCTTATCCTTTTTTTATGTTAGAAGAGCAACACCTCTTAGAGGTCATCTAACTTCTCTTAATTATAGTTGTTCTTTCGGATGTAGGAAATTTTAAGGACAAGTAATAAGTCTTGATAATGAGATTTATTTCATAGAGGAATGTTCTTCTAAATGTGACATTGTACGTTGAACTTATGTTTGTGGCTATGAAAGTGAAGTGTATTGTTACACTCTAAAGAGAAACACCTAGAATTTAGATATCCCTCGAGATTGGTATTTTTCCTTTTTCTATGACTCTTAAAGGAGTTTTAACTAATTGAAGTTTTAAGAGATCCGAGTTTCATCATATCAAACGCTTCTTTTGATTGAACATTAGTGACGACTTAGGATCTACAATATTAAAATAGACTTTATAATTAAAGACTATTGTAGAAATTACATGGATATTTTTGTAAATGAAGGTTATTCTTTTACATTTGTAGGAGTAAAAATGATGGGCCCATACTAAGGTGTAGAGTATTGTGATATGGTAAGGATATTAATAGCCCTTTTTTTCTTCTATTATTAGGTGATTTCTTAATGGGTAGCCCTTTTAAAATCATGCCGATCTAAGGATAATCTTTGTGATGAAGGTCTTGTCCGGTGTTAACCTTGTTGAGGTTTGACTCTTTTATGAATTGCTTGAGGTAATCCTAAATAATTAACCTTTCTATTTATTTTTTCAAGAATTAGCAATTTTTAGTGTCATCTCCAATTGCTTGGTAATAGAGGTATTACTTTTTTCGATTGTGAAGGTGTGAGGGGCCTTTTATTATAGTTGAGTGGTTAATGTATCCTTCTTCTTGTATGGTGGTGAATACCTCCATTCATGAGATGTTTATAGAAGTTGTTTAGAGTTTAGAAAAGACCGGACGGCTATGGATAGTCTTTTAGTGGTTCTTTTTAGATTTGAATAGACTTGTGGAGATCTTTCTTTAATTGGTTTCTAAAAGCGTGGGTACATTTATCGAGTGGCTATTGCTTGTTCTATTCAAATATGACTTTTCATCACTTTTTTTTTACTTGATAGAGGTTTGTATTGAAAAAAAGCATAAATCTTTTTACATAAATTAATGTCATTAACTCTTGATGTGAGGGCTTTTATTGCTATAGGTTCTAATTGGTCATAGACTCTTAGTATCTTTTCGAGAAAGTAAGAAAGGCATGCTCAATTACCTTCTCTTTCTTCTTGAGATATTATGAACAAGTCGTCGGAGCTTATTTTGGAAAAGATTCTAGTAGAGAAACAAGCTACCATTTTGGAACATAAATCTTCAAAACTAGAGATCAATTCAAAGTCCAAGTTATTATATCACATCGTTACCACCTCTAGATGGTGATAAGCACATGGTGTTTGTACTTTGCAAGACTAATTTAAGGTTTTCCTAGAAATTTTCATACATGCTCTTTTGAATATGTCATCCTATTATACACATGCAAGTTCATTTTTTCAAAATTGAACTCTCTTGGGAGCCGGCATTTAAGATTTAGGGGGCAAGTGGGGAAATCTAGATCTTTTGATTGTAATAGTTTGAATTTGGCTAAATAGAGGCAATAGGTCTCTTTTATGCTCATTGGTGTTTAGGTTTAAGGTTCATTAATAAGATTTAAAAGAATGAAAAATTGCTTTTATGTTGTTTGTTATATCGATTTATGGCGAGTAATATACCTACTTTTGGTGTTATAGTGATACTCTATTATTTTATTTCTCTCTATCTTTATCTTCATGGAGCTCTAGCTAGTTGACTCTTTGTCATAACAGTAAAAATAACTTCTTTATGGTTTTGGAGAATGATGAGGTTCCCTTCCCTCAGCCCCTCTCTCACTATGCTTAGCCATTTCTTTTTTGATCGAGTGTCAAATTGGTTTGTTTTGACAAAAGGGGTTCACATATGGTGGTGCAAAAGTCTTTGAAGCATCGATAAAGGCATGGTTAAAGATCTTATATGTTCTTATATTGTTATATATGCTTCCATTAAAATTTTGACACATCATTTTAACTAGAGAACATTGGGTGGCAAAATGCTAGGATTGACAAAATTAAAAAATAAAAAATCAAGTGGAGCAAGTTGGAGTTTTTTGATTGTCACCTATGGATGAAAACTTGATAGTGGAAAAATGAAACAGTTAGCGATTGGTTTTTACTAAAAGTTCCCTTAAATGGTGCCACCGACAAAGGTCATAATCCTCCAATTATAATTTAAAAATGGCTTTCAACTAAGCTGATTGTGAGATGGTTCCAACGTATTAGATGAGTATTCAATGACGAGTACGAATAGAACAAGTCGTGTTTTGGTGATTGTATGACCTTTTGATAAGTTAGCTTATGAAGATAGGTATTGAGCCCGAGTAAGTCTGTAAAGACATTTGATTTTGTATGTAGGTGATAGTTGATAGTATAACTATTTTGATATTAGAAGGCAAAACTTGTAACTTTTTGATGGAAACTAAGGAGCCAAATAGTTCAAGATCTAATCTATTATACATTAAAGATGGTCCAATGACACGAGCTAAGGCTAAAAAGCTTAAAGAAGCTCTCAATGGGTTGATTCAAGAGTGTTGAAAAAAATACACTTCCAAGGGCCTAAGGAAGCAATGTGGCGCCATCTTAAGAGATGAAGGGGATCCAAGACTTATCGATTTGGTCTAAGTCTAAGATTGAACTCTTTAATTCATATTAGGCTTATTTTGTTATATCTAGCTTAATTATAATTAAAAATAATTAATTAAATCAGATTTAGGCTCAATGTTTTAAATCTAACTTAATTATAATTAGAACTAATTAATTAAGTCATATTTGGGCTTAATATTTTAAGTTTTATTATTTGTGTCCATTAGGGTTTGTTTTTGTTCTCCTTAGGTGTAAAAGATGAGTAGAGTCCTTTTAGGGTTAGGAGTGGCTAGTTTAACCTATTTAAAGGCTCTTTTAGTTTTGTTTCAAGCTTACACAATAATCTTGAGAGCTAATAAATTTGAGAGGATTTTCTTCTTTTATTCATTTGAGAACTAAATCTAACTTATTAAGGATTGAGCCCATATGACATCTCCGAACTTATCATCCTCTAAAAGATGTGGCATTCTTCGCTTCATTACTTCATAGCTTTAGTTCTTACCTCCTTATAGGCAATGAGTTGGGTTTTGCTTATTATAACATGATTGAGCATTTTTTTGGAGTTGTCTAGCGATAAAAGTGTTCGGGTCTCTTATCTTTATACGTAGGGATCACATCACTTTTAGCATGTTAACCTTCGTATAAGAGAAGGTGATGATCAACCTACAACGGTCTTTTTTTTCGTGCTTAATAGTCTCTAACACTCACTCCAAGGTTAAGGACCTTTTTAGGTAATGATCGTTGTTTAAAGACGTATGTCCAATCATAATTGGTGATGATGTGATAGAAATAATTCAGAAAGTCATGTCTTCATAATAAAAACCCTTTTTGTTTATCAAGCGTGTAGAAAAAAACATCTTTTTTACTCGGACCATGCATCTATATTGATATTGCGTTCCTTAGTTACAGTGGTTGTCGACGACTAGCTGAGATCATTTTATTAAGGGCAAATTCTTGGCCAGGTTGTCCTTAAATGGAGTATGACAACACTTGTAATGATGACAATCATACAAGTATATCAATAAGTATTATAAAAAAAAATGTATGGATAAAGATTTATTATTATTATTTTAGAACAATAGCTTCACTTTTCAAGTTATCTTTTTTTTTTCCAAATAAATTCATAATTATTAAACTTTCTACATCATCCAAATAATGCATTTAAACGCATACTTTCACTTTTATCCATGATTTTTAATCTCTTGTCAAAATACCAAGAGATCTCGCTTCTATTAAAAACTTGGATAAGAAATGGCCAACCTATCTCGCCTTCAATCTGGTTATTTGGTTTAGATAAAAAAATCTTAAATGGTCTTCGAAATGACACGGACAGCTATGGTTTCAGATAACTTCTTTTCCAATTATAAAACATTTTTCTAGATTTTATTTGAATTTTATTTAATAGGATTATGACATTTAATATGGTATTTTGACAATCATATGAGTTTATTTTTGCCATAAGTTCTTAAATAAAAAGGGTTTAAAGGACTTCATTATTTAAATACAGTATTTAAAATATAAAAATATTTTTTTAATTTCAGAATCGTAATCTTATTTAAATTTAGTCATATCTTACATAAATATGTAATATAATAAAAATTATATTTCAATAACCAAGTATTTTATGTACGGAAAAATAGAAATTAAAACATTTTGGATGAAAGATTTCTGCAAAAAGCCCAAAAAAATAAGAACAGAAAAGTCACTTGAATTGTAGTTTCTTAAGGTATATAAAGAAGATTATATAGGAAGTACAATCAAATGTGAAGTGTTTTATACAAGAACTTAGAATAGAGAACTTATGGTTTTTTAAAAAAATATATGATGAAACTTTTTAGTCTTTCACTTTCTAGAAATGAATTGATTATCTAGTTATTGTACTAATTTTACAAATATTATTAAGTAAATTCACTATTTAATAATTTAATTAATTTATAAATATTTTTAAGAGAAAAGTATACATATAATTTTATTTTTTAAATGTAAATTACCAATAAGTTCTATGCTAATTTTTTAAGACCTATAAGTTCACTTTCATATTTATCTTCTAGAAAGATTTATATTCAACTGTGCTGCCTACATTACACTCTTCATATATTTAAAAAAATTATAAATTAATTGAATTTTCTTTTTTTTTCTTTTTACATATTTTTTAAAAATACCTTTCAATGGTTTTTTGAATGTCCAATTTCTCTAACTTGTAAAATAAGTTATAATTGTAATCTATTTGTTTTATATTACCATTATTGTAAATATTGATTATATTCGAATCAAATATGATGGTAAATATATAAAAAATATAATTATTCATATCTGTAAATCTTGGTATTTAAAATAACAGGTTTAATGATCTTTAGCAGAATGAGGTGCCTTGGATATTTTCTAAGAATTATAGTAATTAAGAAGAATAAAATTATACGATAATAAAACTATAATTAAAAAAACTAAAAATTTTTTTACAAAAAAATATAAATGAAAAAAAAATTACATAATAAAACTTCTTGTAAATTAATTTTTTAAGGAAAAAAAGATAAATAACAAATGTTTAAATTTATTTATAAAGATTTTGTAGGAAAATATAAAAAGACACGAACTTATTTGGAAAAAAAATCAAAACTAATTTTATCGGTTTTAAAAAATATCATTGAATTTATCCGATCATTTATCTTTTAAAAATTAACTAATCCATGCTTAGTTAACAACTCTACGGGAAGAGGTGGGTTGCAGTATTTTGAGACCTTTGGTCCTTTTTGGGAGTTAAATACGCAGCCGACCCTGAAAACTCAGATACATCACAAGCCGATTCACCAATGGGCCATTGCCCATATAAGATGGGCAGTTTCTTTCTATTACACCATTTTAACTTATCACCGCGGGCGTACCTGCGGATCCTGGTCGACCATGATCGAGGGAGTCATAGAGCGGCCCATTTATAACAAGTTCTTAGCCCCAGTAGAGAACTTCTCGATCATATTAGTTAAGATTAGTTAAGTTATGGGTTATAGAATGTCACCAGTTTGTTGAGTAAATTATAAATTAGTCCCTCTCATTTTAAGAAACAAGTTAATTAATCTCTCTTATTTGAAAAATTAATTATTTAATCCTTTATCTTTTAATTTCATCAATAATTTAACCTTTTCGTCATTTTTTCGTTAGAGTAGTGATGGTATATCCTTACTGTAATATTTTTAATTTCTAAATTGCTTTTGTTTTTTATACATTATTTCTCTCATTCCCACACATCTTTTTCATTTTTGTCTCTTCAAATACTAAAATAAATCTTCATTTTTCTCTTTAATTTTTCACTCCTTATTTTATTAATCTCACTCTCTTTTTCTCTTTTCAAGCACAAAAACATATCACCAGGCATGAGTATATTTATTAAAGGATATTTTAGGTACTATGTGTTGATTTGACAAATCTCGCAAAAATTTAATGGTGGAAAAATAAATTATTAATTTTTTTTAAATAAAAAGACTAATTAATTCATTTCTCAAATCGAAAAAGACTAATTTATAATTTACTTCTAGTTTGTTGTTCGTATTATGATACGAGCGAAACACCAAACATTAACAAAATTATATAAATTACAACGTTTAATTATATTCTTATATGGTCTATGGTAACAATATATTTTATATAGTATTCAAGATTTCATGTATATCGAATACAAAAAATGAAAGTTCAAAACACTAAAAGCATCATATGACCATGACCATCTGTAGATAATGGAAGAAAATATGTAAAAAGAGAGTTAATTTTTTAGACTGTTTCAAAAGCAAAAGACTTCAACATTTTTTATTGATGCCAATAAATATTAAAATAAATAAATAAATTAGTTTAGAGGAATTAATAAATCATCCAACCACACAAAATTCACTAAGTTAGTTATTTAGAAATTAGTTTAGGCCATGTGGAGGGGAAAAAAAATCTTTCTAGAGGCCCTACTTGTTGTTGCAAGTATTTCTTTTCTTTATTTATTAAATATTAAATTGAAAGAGATAAACTTATAAATTATCTAAATGCATAATGTACCAGTAGAAGAATTGGTGGCTTGAACCAAATATGAATTAATTTCTACTTTTTATCTGAATTTTTTAGCACAAAAAAGATTCACAAATTCTGAAAATCTTTGCAAGTATGAATTAATTTCAAGAATATGGCCATAGGTTCCTGAAGGAATAGACTACTAGAGGATGAGTGGAATCCTTGAAGAGGGATGGATCCCTGACAAAAGATGGACTCCTCTTCTTAAGGAGCAATTACCTCAAGGAATTTCATAAGTTCTTGAAAAAATATGGCTGCAGGTTCTCAAAAGAGTTGTATGTCTACAGGAATATCGCTATAAGTTCTTGCAAAAATATGGATATGGGTTCCCGAAAGAATGGACTCTTTAGAGAGGAGTGAGATCTCCGATAAGGGATGAATTTCTGACGACGGTGTGGTCATTCATTCCCTAAGAAATATAGCCTTGGGCTCCACTCTTAAAGGAAATATGGTCATTCATTCACTAAGGAATATGATCTTGGATTGTACCTTTTTCTCTCGATATGATTATCTATTTTCTTAAGAATATGGCCTTGAACTGTACTCTTGAAAAAAATGTGTTCATCCATTTCCTGAGTAATATGACCTTAAATTGTACCTTTGGCGCTCAACGTGGTCGTCCGTTCCTTGGAGAATATGGCCTTAAAGTATACCCTTAGAGGAAATATGGTTTTTTGTTTCCTAAGAAATATGACATTGGGTTGTACCTCTAGCTCTTTTTTGGTTCATTTGGTATTGAAAATGCTAAATATGACCACCAGTCATATTTAAGAAGTGTTTCGCAATCAAGGATGACTGAAGTAATTTAGGTAAATCAAGGATTGATTTGTTCGGCTCTGTACAGTTTGGAAGTGTAGGGACCAAATCTCATTGTATGGATGAAGTCAAGGGTTGATAGTCAAACTCAAAATCAGGATCAAAATTGAGAGGCAGCAAGAACTTGAGGGATTAAAATGCAAGAGGATGAGACAACTGCCATGTGCGTGGTTAGGCATGGCCGGACTTCTCTCTGTGCATTTGGTGTCACTCGACAGCATATTGATGCTTTAATTGGTGGTGGCTTTGGAGTTTTTTCGATCGAGGTGAGTTTGGTCGTCCAACACATACTAGATGTGGAGCGCCAATGAAGGTCCAGTGATTTATTCTCTTTTTTCTTCCTTATTTATGTGCTTCTCTCCCCTATAGCCTACACCACCTTCCCTTTCTTTCTTTCTCTTCTCAATTTTTTAATTCTTTATGCCTCTCATTCTCTCTTGTTCATACCTATTTGTCCTAGATGATGACACATCCACCTAGGCTTGCTCTAGATGGTGACAAACAAGTCCACTTGAATTTGCCCATGTAAGGTTTTTTTTTTAGTCTCTTTCCCTCAATCTTAACCAGTTTTGAGAATCAAGACTTGTACGAGGAGAAAATATTTTATGGATAGAAACAAATAGCTTGAACAATTGTATGTGGTGGACTGATTAATTCCCTAGACAGATGGCGAGACTTCTTCAATTATTTAAATGTCTATACTCTTTGTCCCATCGGTCGAGCCTTCATATATTTGTGTAGCAATATGTGCAACTTGAAACCCTTTTTGAAACCTTTCTCCATACAGGTGACATTAGTGGATCAGTTTTTGCGAGGCCTTTTGGCTTGTACGTTGATTGGCCATGATTTTTCATTGCTACGTTTGTCCTGCGAAATGGATAATAAATATGGCCATATATCTATATAATTAGTTGATACTTATAAAACGTAATAAAACATATAATAAATTGGTGTTAATATCATAAATGTGTTATAAATGAAAGCGTGGCCATTTGATGAATTTGCTTAGTTTTATCTACTTTTCTAACATTCTTTTTACCGTAATAATAAACTATTAATAAAACTAATAATTGATACCTTCCTAAAAAAAATGTTAATACGAGTCAAGAGTATCTTATGCTATCACAGGAGAAAGGCTGGTGGGTTTGTATATGTATCATTTCACAATGATCTTTGTATCTATTTTTCATGTTAAAAGAGATAATATATTTATAAAGTGATGAACATTTACGTGAATCATGCACTGTATAATTAGAGTTGGTATTTCATATGGAGGAAGATACCATTGTTGTCAGAATAAAGGTTGGTAAATATGGATTAAAAACTAGATTTTTGCTCCATTTTTCACAAATAGCGTCACTAATGATGCTTAAGATTTTGACATTTAGATTGATTGTACTTGGTATTCAACCTTCTTGAAACGATGAAAATATGATGATTGTATTCATTGAAATCTTGTAAGTATAAATTATAAGTATTGGTATTAGTGGTGCTAGAAGATGCTCCAACGAGATTACTTTACTAATTAAATTAATATTTTAGATATATTGTATGGATATGAAATATTAGTGAGACTTGTAAATTGGTGTCTATGTTATTTTTGCAAAGTTTTTAGACCTGAACCCAAATTTCATAGCTTATCACTTCAGAGTGAAGAGTAAAATTAAAAATTAATTTGGAACCTTTGGATCTCCATTAAATACCATCCAACATTCGATTGGCATTTCCTCAAATAAATAAATAAATATGGATTGGTGCATAACTATGGTACGCGTAGCAAGGATGACTTTTGGGCTTTAAGATCTACATGGAATTTGACGATTCAGCTCCAAATGATGGGTTGATTGGAGATCCATTCTGATCCCAATTTCAGTCCAATTATAGTTTTACCACATAATTTTTTTTATGAAATTGCACTAAGATTTGGTATGTAAACGAAACTTGAGGCCAAATATTGTACAGTCTGCGCGCAATGCTAAATTAACCTTAATACTAGATTAATTGCTATATTTTGGTTCTATGATTGTACTAGATAATTTGAGCTTATTAAAGGGTTATAAGCTACACGCCCCAAAGCAACTTGCTTGCTGTGCATCTCTTCGTGATTTATATTTCATTTTAATCACTTGAATAAGTGAATCAAAAATCGCTTATGGCGTACCTATCAGTGAACATTTGATGGCTCAAAAACATCTAATCGTTAGATTCTTTCGGTGTCAATGGAGTCATGACTTGAATCAAGCCACTATTTCTATGATGAGAGAGGAGGATTTTCTGTTCGCTACCTAATCATTGAACTCACATAACATGGGCATAAGTCAAGTGCTGTTTCAATTTGGATTCAAGGGACCAGACAAGATGTATATATATAGTCGTGGAACTGATGAGAATGACCATAACTGCTCGGTCAAGTTGAATTGAATGAATTACTTACACCAGAAATGGGCAAGTCAAAAGGGTCCAGATATGAAGTACTCTTTTTACAATCACTGGATTATTTTATCATGTCCGGCCAAACAATAACTACCTACCGCATCCAGACACGATGATCTGCACGTTGCTTCCAATTTCATCATGCATGGGTTGATAGTTCGGGAGATATGGAGATCTTGGGTTTATATAGCGCACCAAAACTTTAAGCCTTTGAAGCGTCATCTTCTGGAAACAATTAAACAAAACCGTGACCATGGGACCATGAAAAGGTAAAAACAGATAACCTTGTGGTATTGGGAATTGTATCAGAGCTCTACACAGAATATTATCTATGTGGTTAGCTTCACATAAAAATGTGGTTCTCCTGACCAAAATATCAAGAATTAATTAAGGGGATTAGCCAGTCATAATCCCAGCCGATCGAATGTGTGCTAGAGTTGTTTTTATATTCAATAGCCGGTCAAACATTAAATGACTTTCTTATATCCCAAAGCTGAAGTACTTCACAGTTAGAATTTGGCAGGCATGGGCTATAAATACGAAAAGGGTATAAGTATGGGCCAGTGGGCCAAATATTTTTTTAACATGGATTGTTTTGGGTACGGTGACTTATGTAAGCAGACTGTAAAGTCCAAGATATGAATTAGTTATATAAATTGGCAAATCAAATAATATTTGGATCACAATAAAAGAAAATTAGAAAAAAGAAAAGATAACGGCTATATCTGCGTTTAGTCCACAGTTACAAACTAGCTTACAGTATCATTGTTATCCACAGAACAAGGACCACATAATCCAACTGCACTTCACTTATCTCTTTGAGAAATCTGCCCCCTATTTTTTTATAGCAAATTCTCACCTTTTGTTGGGGACATTGAGCCCCTGCCATCTGAAGAAGCTTCCAGAGTAACAATCCAAGAACTCAACTACTACAACAAGTGGAACAGTCGAACATAATTAATTTGAGCAAGATGAGAGTGTTTCTCGAGAGGAAAAAGAAAAAGAGAAAATAAATAGAAGGAATCTAGGCTTTTATTTTTCAGTATATATATATATTAAAAATTTTAGTTTTTCGATTGATCAAATTTTTTTTTAAAAAAAACCTGAACTCGAACTTGAAAATCAAAATTATTTTTGTTCAATTTTTTATTTTAACTTTTTATACAAAACTCACGTTAAAATTAATATTTCAATTCGATACAGTTTTATATTTCAATTTTTAATCTGGATGGACAGAATAACTTTCCTACCAACATCGACAGAAAGCTCACATGTTTAGCAGACACAAAAATCAATGCAGTCAACCAATCTGACGCCTTGGAATCATTCCTTTCAATCATCATTATCTTCCTACACAACCCTCACCCCCCTCACTCTACCTATATATGTTCCCTACAATATCCTACGCTCTATGTCTCAACTATTTCATTCATGCCATTAATTAAGAGAAAAACACTATTGTAAGTTAAGAAAGAGCGTTTGTGTGTCTGTGTGTGAGGCATTCTAAATCGCTTTCAAAACTTGATGAAAAATTGGAGAAAATTTTGTAATCATTGAAAACGAACTCATTTCTTATTTTACGTTTTTCTATTTTTTTTTTTTTTTTTTTGTCTCAAAAAACACACTATGCAGGTGTTTTTCCCCACCACACTGCTTCTAAGGTTTAAATTTGATGTTTACTAAAAAAAATTTTGATTTCTAAGCAGAACAGTTTCCGTTATCTCAAGAATCAAATGCTAAGTAGAATTTATGTATAATCCTATAATTCAATAATGATTTTTTAAAGTTAAAAGGAACGAAGTCTTAGGTTTGAATCAGAAAAATTTTAAAATATTCAAACAATAATTATTATACATATGTAATACTTATTCCATAAATTTATTTAAAAAAAATAGGGTAAAAAAAAGAATTACTTCTAGAACCATTTAAAGGGATGAAAAAATTTCTGCCTGGCTCAATTTTGTTTTTAATTTTTTTCTTATTTATT